AAGACTGCAGCATCATCAGATTATCAGCTCCACTGAAGAAACAATACTCCATTGTAACAATGAATAAATAAATAATAATGTAATAATTAATATTTATAATTAATAGGAACATAATTTAGATTATGATAAGCTGTTGGACTCTTCTCCTTATAAGGAAGTTCATCGTCTCCAGATGATCCAATGGGGAGAGAGGAAAAGGAAGAGTGATCCGGGGTATTTCTGTCGCTTAGCAACAGAGGAAGAGGACAAACCAGTTTGGTTGGTTTCAGATTGTCGGAGACCGAGTGACGTAGAGTATTTCAAATCTCATTACTCAACTGGCCCCGCCCACCCCTTGTGTGTGTTGGTACGAGTATCAGCTAGTGATGAGGTGAGGAGGTCCCGTGGGTGGGACTGGGTAGGTGGAGTCGATGATGGTCCCTCGGAGTGTGCGTTGGATGAGGTGTCATGTGACTATCATGTGATTAATAACGGAATACAGGAGCAACTGGACATGAAACTGAAAGAACTGAAATTATGAAATCCTTAAAAATTTAATCAAAATCAATCTTAAAAATTTGAATTATTTATTGAGCCCCACCCTTGAATTCCTGTGAGGGGTGGGGCTGTGCAGTGATGGCTACTGATGGAGATAACTCTTCTCTAGGTTGGTATATTCTTATAACGTGCTCCAGATTAGTTTTATTGTAGGTATTGGTGACTTGCATGATGTCAAAACTGAGCTAAAAGAGTTTACTACGTCTGACTGGAGGAAATTTGGATCAGTAGCTGGCCTCAAATACAATACTCTTAATAACATACAAGAAAACAAAACAAAAGTTGAGGATCGTTTTGAAGAGTGCTTGGCTTGCTGGTTGAGAAGGAAGGACGATGTTGACAGTAAAGGAAAGCCATCATGGAGGAGACTAGTTGAGATATTAGAGGAACTTGGAGAACGAGCCTTGGCTGACAAAATTAGTAACAGAAAGGGTGAATTAAATTTATTATAGCATGTTAAATTATAACTTTTTAGGTTTAACCTCACCTACTACTCCTGGTCAAGGCATTTTTCGTAAGATTAATTAAATTGTACTATGTAGCTATTATAATGGTTTTAGTTCCTTATAAATTAAAAAAAGAGTATAAAGAAATGGATGATAAATTGGGAGATATATTAGTCCATTTTGCCAAAGAAGTTTTTAGAATGAAGATATTGAATGAGCTTAAGCCTAAAATGTTATGTCGTTGGCGATTAAGTAAAAAAGAAATTGATGACTTAAAGGATGAGTGTGATTTAACAATCTTGCTTCGGAGTCATTGTTTTTTGTGGGAATTTGATGCACTAAAAAAATTAACAGAGGATGCAAAAATGACTGATATCACAAAGAATTTAACTGAATTAGAAGAGAAACGAAATAAGATGTACAAGGATATTCCAGCAAAGGATTTTGCAAAAACTGCCATTGAATATTGTGGTACAACTGGTAGTAGAGAGGTTAGAGTTATTGTATTGTTATAGCAATGCTCATGTTAATGTGATAGGTGACATTTGAAGTGACATGGGGTATTGATGAAACAACACTTAAAGATTTTAAGAAATTTCTCCAAGATGCCTTTAGCAGTCAAGACATTTACATGTACATTCAGTTGAAGACTGTCCACAATAGTCGACTGACATTTGTTTGTGTGATACCACATTGGCTAGTGGATGAGATGAAGGATTATGTTATGAAGAATGGTGACCTCTTTGAGTCTAAAGGAGTAGTTGAAATTACTGTTGATGGAACTATTGTATTCAGTGTGGTAAGTGATGGTGTATTAGTATTTGATACATTAATTATGAGATTTGTAATAGAAACATTCATTGGAGCCTCATCAGTTGTCATTAGGTAATGTATACTGTATGTATGTATGGTGTAATGTTTATTGTAGAGAATGAAGAAAAGAAGAAAGAGTCATTGCAGCAGAATGAGGAGGAAGCAGAAGAAGTAAGTTGTGTTTAGTTGTAATTATTATTAAGTACTTATAGAAATATATGGATCAGCATTATACACAAGAAGACAGCAGATCTAGAACATTTAAAAGCACTGCTCCACCAGCTGGTATGTATCATATCAATATTGTACAGTGTAACTGACTATTGTATTAATATATAGCACCTTATACTGGACTGGTGTATCATGAGAAGAAGGAAGATCAACATTTGATAATATCTACTGCGGCAAGACACAAGGATATTAGTAATGCTATGTAGAAAGTGTTTAAAAAATTTTTGTAAAAAGTGTGGACAATACTCCCTATGCAAAAATGGCTCTGAAATCGCCTCAAATTTTTATTACATTTTCTGATACATATTGATGTACTTATGATGTGTAGAAAGTTTGAGCTGATTCTGAATGTAAATTTTTGAGTTATGAGCATTTTAAAAAATTATCCAAAATCTAAAAAATACCCAAGGCTATAGCCTGCATTTATTGCCTACTTTTATCATGAGTTTTGAAATAGTAACATTTATCAGAAATGCAGGAAGCCACGCGTTACTTATTGTTTTACATATTTGTGTTTTACTCTGAATTGACAGAAACTGAAGAGCTACAAATGCTTGAGAAAGAACTTCAGGAGAACATCAGTAGCACACTATCTGTTCAGGAGCATGAAAACATCAGTAGCAAAGATCAAATGACAGAAGGTATTATAATACTATAGTTAGTACTGAGTTTATTCATTTATTGAATATAGTTAGTGAAACTACTAAGCCATCTACGGGTATAAAGGAGGCTATGATATATTCTGGTCTGATTTATTATGAGAAAAACTTAGTGACATTCATTGCAGCTAAAGATCTGTTTCTTCTTCAGAAGGTAATTAAAATATTAATGTGTGGATATCACTTTATTCAGTAATTTTTCAGTATGTTCAAACAGAGTATCCTCAAGCAGAAATAGGACAGCATGTCCCCTTTAGTTTTGATCCTTCAAGTGATTACATTGAGTTGATACTTGATGCTCCACAGGATGAGTCATTTCAAGGTTGGACTATAGAACCAGATACTATACCTTGCAGGGTAAGTAGAATAATAATAACTGGATAACTGGATGCAGGCTCTGCCCCTGTCATGACACGTGTTCAAAAGATCATTAATAATGCTGCAAATAGATTAAATTAGGAATTTATATTCATTTCTTCTACTATACTATCTTATGTATTAATTGTTGCTTATTAATTTAACTATAGTTGTATCGCAGTGATATTGATGCATTTGGTGGTGAAGATCATTGTCACCCACCATCTTGTCATATTTCAATACCTGATGCTGTTCCTACTCTGAAGTACTCCATAAGACTGGTGGGTATGGCTGATCCTGTTAAATTAAAAATTCATCAATCACTAGGAACTGTATCAATAGGTAATAGATACAAAGTTTAAATTATTTATTTAATATTAATCAGATCCTACTACCTCCTCCTCCTCTTCTAATATAGTACATGATTCAACGTCAGTAGATCTATCATCCACTGGAGGAGCTAGTAAGTGATAATACTGTGTGTATATACTGACCTTTGACCTCTATTAGGTTTATCAGCTAGTGTTGATATTGAGAGAGTTAAGAAAGTGATCAATGATGTTCTTGAAACTCATTATGCTCGCTATCTTAACTCTTTATCATCTGTCAATGCTCTTGCTGATCAGTTATTCAAAGCTAAGCTCATTCGTAATGAAGTTAAAGACCATCCTTCGATGAAAGCATTCATTACAGAGTTCAAGGCTAATCTTAATGCTAAGATGACATTATCTCAAGTTCAGGAGCACTGTCAAAAGTTCTTAGACTCATTCAGTGTTATAGGAGGCAATGATGCTCATGCAGCAATAGCTTTAGCTAAGGAATGGAATGAACTAGTGGGATTTGACTTTAGTGTACAGTATTTTTAGATCTATGCAGTCTATAACAATAAAAATAATTATATAACTACTGGTAGTTTTACACTTTTAGATGAGAAATATCTGTGTTGATAGATTCTGGGAATTCAGTCAGTGCTGACTGTGACTGAAGGCAGCTTAGGCAGGCAATATCATGTGTTTATCAGACTTTACTGGTGACTCAGTGCTGACAAAGATTTTAAAGCCTATTCATTTATAGGTCTGACCAACAGCAAACTGGTATAATAAGTCACCCCATAGGTATGGTCTGACTTACGAAGTTATGCCAGCTTGCTGTTGTTCTGAGTCAGAATAGGGGAAATCCAAGCTGCAAAAGATCATTTTTTACTACGCGTACGCGAGACTATAGCAAGTAAAGCAAAAGATGTATGCCGAAGTTGTTGGAGACATTGACAGTAGAGATACTTCTTCTCTCGGTTAGTCTATCTCTTGGTTAGTATGTTTACATCATTCCTTCTAAAATTTTAATAGATAAACTGAGAGGGCCAAAATTGCGTTGGTCTTGTTGGCTGGATAATAACGAAGGAGTGTCGTCACGGAGCAGATTAGCTCAGCTGGGAGAAGAAGTTGTAGAGAAGGCCTTAAAAGAAAAAATTAGATGCATAAAAGGTAACTAAACTGCAATGGGTTTTTATTTATTCTTAAAAGAGCAACAACAACCAGCCTGTCACAAATTTTTTGTTCGGGAAAAAAAATTGTCCTAGCTCTATACTTCCACATGTATTATAAGTTTAACCCCCAACCCAACCTCTAATCTAAATAGTACTAACTGTGTATTGTATCCAGACAGTTTTTGCAAGACAAATTATCCTGTGACAGCTAGGCCATGTAGTACAAAAATGCCTAATAAAATTGATAAAATTTTGGCTGCCAAAAATTGGAACTATTATTATGGTA